CTCTATTCCTGCAAGAATTCTATAGGCAAAAGCTGGGGCCTCAAACCACACATCATCAAATGGATGTATGAGTCAATCGTTCGCCCCATTCTAACCTATGGAGCTCTAGTATGGTGGCATTCTCTGAAGAAGTTAACTTATCTACGACATATTAACAAAGTTCAACGAGCCGCATCCTTATTAATAACGGGTGCCTTCAGGAGCACGCCTCAATCAGCACTGGATACTCTACTGGGTCTAGGCCCACTGAATTTATTTGTGGAGGAACAGGCATCCAGGAGTGCTCTTCGACTCAAAGAACTAGGTGAATGGCGCAGCCAACCCTTTGGACATTCTGCGATTCTAAGGCATAGATGCCCAGTAGTGGCTGATTTCAGCAATTTCAACTCACACGTATTCTTACGCTCTTTTGTTTGATCGCCAATCAACCAATAGGAAAGCAGAAATATGAGTGGGAGAGACAAGCTACACAGGCAGAAATTCTGTGTAATATTAACATTTAATCGTAATCGAGAATGCTGTTAGTGAACACATAAACTGAAAATTATTGCGATATGTCAATGATGTCATTTGAAAAGTATTTTATGATACAAAATGCTTTTGATGATATGCAATGTTTTATATGTTATAAGATATTAAAAAAAATAAGAAATATAATTTAAAAAAACATTTTGAAACTACTTAAATAAATGCATTTATCAAGAGTATTACTAAAACATGTATATTCATTAATTTTACATTTCATAGAAAAAGAAAAAAAATGACGACACCCGCCACACATATGCTTTCGTCGCTATCTCGTTGACGACTAAATAAAATGAATAGAAAAATCTTTTCTTCCAGTGTTATTTTGTCGCTCTCACCAACACTATTACATTGGGCATCTATGTTCTAAGGCGTGTAAGGAATGTGGGAGAGACAGACTTTGCAAGTGACTATATTTCACCACGACTAAGCTTCCACCCACCTGACATACACATACCTGACAGGGACACCTGGGCTCAAAACAACCCACCTTTCCGCGGCATAGCTGTCTATATTGACGGTTCAAAGATGGAGTGTGGAACGGGAGCTGGTGTCTTCTGTGATACTCTTAACGTTCGTGAATCCTACAAGCTTGGAAACAACTGTAGCGTTTTTCAGGCGGAAATCATTGCAGTCAAAAAGGCCATTGACCTGCTGGTCACGAGGAACATTGAAGTCAACAGTCCGGTGACTGTATATGTCGATAGTCAAGCGGCACTGAAGGCCTTGAGTTCCTTTACAATCAAGTCTAGGGCTGTTTTGAACTGCAGGGAAGCCTTGGAAAACATTGGGTTATCGATCAACCTCTGTTGGGTTCCTGGACACTTTAACATCCCAGGTAACGAGACTGCAGACGAACTGGCCAGATTAGGATCCGAATCAATTACAATTCAAGTAGACAACTCGGTTAAACCACCACTGTGCCATTTCCTGCAGGTTATTCACAAACACTACTCTGAGAAGATCCAACAAAAATGGCTGGATGAAATTGGTCGTAACATCCCCAAACGAATCTGGCCCACGCTCTCGGAGAAGAGAACAAGGTCGCTGATGTCATTGTCAAAACCTGACTTAAAACTCGTGGTGGGCATCATCACAGGTCACTGTAAGGTGAGAGCTATGACATCGAAATGGGATAGCGACGGCATTGACTACTGTAGGATCTGTCAAGATGAAGAAGAAATCGAGACAATCGAACACTTACTCTGCCACTGCCCAGCACTTATTAATGTGAGGCATAGGCTAATGGGAGAATTAGTGTCACATGACTTGTCATCTTTTTCTAACACTGACCCAGTAGTAATACTTCAACTAGCCAGAAGATTCAAATGGCTTAAGACGACACGGCAAACTCTTCAGCCGTAGATTCTCACTCTACTACACTATCCCTTATCTTCACTTTCTCTATCAATCACTTTTTCCTCTATCTCTCAAACTCTTTTCTAGGATGAACACAATGGACCTATAGGTCTCCGAGTGGAGCGGTTGCCATAAGGCAATCGCGCGTCCTTTAACCTAACCTAACCTAAGCCAAGAAAATAAAAAAATTGAAATCATATGGTATCATAGCCCTACCTTGATATCATTGTACCATGCGACTATGTTACCTAATGCTGTGTCGCTGCTTGTTAACCGTTGGAGTTTTGCTGAGTTCAACGGAGATTTATTCTATTATAAGGAAAAAATATTTTCGCATTGCCCTGCAGTGAGATTTTATATCAAAAAAGGGTACACTTATTGCATATCAAGAAATCGAATTTAATCACAAAACGTCATATTGAGCATGACACTAGTATTACCATGGTACAATAAGGAGGTAGAACAGCTTCGTAAGACTACAGAAATACAGCCCTGAGGCTATGTCCGCTTTCTGTCAGACTCATTCAGAATTGTTGTTGTTATCATTTTTTCCTAATTTTTAAAATGAGTTAAATAGCACAAAAAATGATTGAAATGCTTGGATTTTCTCTCAAAAATATGATCCAAACTGTTCAATCTTTCAATTTTATGGCTAAACTGTTTAATAGCTTTAATGCGCGAGCCGCAATGTACGTGTCTTCCAATCTTTGGTTTTTAAAATATTTTATTTTCTTTTTTCAAAACAATAAATACATACACAAAATTGGCAGAAGTCGGACACACTTAGAAAAAAGTGTAATCAGCTGGTAGCTTTACCTTACCTTTTTATTGTACCATGTGTATTACTATATAATCAAAAAGCTGGGACTTGCTGTTACCTGTAATAATAATACCATAAAAAGGTAAGTTACAGAAAATGCAGAGATGGATATGCTTATTTGAAATGACTTTATCTTCTTAATTTTACTATGGTTATATATAGCATAACTTTGAACAGAAATCCTTTCCTTACAATGTATTTAGGAGGAGACTTTGTTCTACCTTCTGTTATTGTGTCAAGGTCGTACCCATGGTACTATAAGGAGAATAGATTCGTAAATATTATAAATCTGATGAAATGTCAACATTTGGTCACAATTTTTGGCTATTTGTTTTTTTTTTGTTCTGTGATTTCAATCACAATATTGCCATGGTAGAAGAATACAGGTCAAAAATTTTAAAATATTTTGTCAAAAATACGTTGATTTTTATAAGTTTTCTTGTATGACGTATATTAGAGGTTGTTATGATGTGCATTTATAAACAATTTTTACAAATTTCAATAATTTTTAATTCAACATTTTCAATTCCAAAATCGTTTTCACAGTTCATTGTCCCAGCAGCTGCGTCGATCCCACTACCTGGATTGACGGGGGACCTTATACTTAAGCTATGGCACTATGACAACTTTCAAACAAGGTTGTCATCTAAAATCTATGATTGTTCTGAGGAATTGGCCGAAATTGACAAGTTTCTTCCAATAGAATATTTTCATATTCTCAGTTGTAGAACTGTCACATTCGATATTAAATCCACACTATTTGGGAAGTCCTAAAATATAATATTTTGGTTCATTTTTAAAATGCTCGAAAGATAAATTAAATTCTGAAATTTCTTTTAAAAATCTGATCCAAACCGTTAAATAATTTAAACCAATGACAAAACTAGTTACAGGAAACATCAAACCCCAGCTGACTTGACTCTATAGTAATACTATTGTCAAATCCGATATGACGTTTTGTGATTTAATCCAATTTCTTGATATACAATAGGTATACATTGTTTTGATATAAAATTTCACTGAAGGGCAAAATTACACTGTGAGCATATAGTTTGCCTTACAATAAAATAATTCGCTCTTATGCTTAACAAAACGCCAACGGCGATGAAGCGGATACTTTTTTCGCGTATATTTCTTGTTTCCTAAAATTCCAAAATGTTTATGCATATATGAAATATATACTACAGAAATACAGTCCTGAGTCCCGCTTCCTGTTAGAATTATTCAAAATTATAGGCAACAAGTTGTTTTCATCTATTTGATATTTTTTGTTCATTTCCATAATGTGTCAAATAGCGCGAAAGATGAATGAAATACCAGGTTGTTCTTTCAAAAATATGACCCTAAGTGTTCAGTCTTTCAATTCCATTGCAAATCTAGTTAATATTATTAATGAGCGCCCCGTAATTTAAGTTTCTTCCGATAATTGATTTTGAAAATACTTTGTTTTTAATAATAAATATATACACAAAATTGGCTGGGCAGACTTAGAAAAAAATTGTAATCAGCTGGTAGCTCTACCTTACCTTTTTATTGTACCATGATACATTCGATGTTAATGGGCAATACATTATAAAATATTGGGATAAAACTGTATTCTCTACTATTTTAGATTCAATCTTGTGGAATAATACTAAATTCCATTCTTGTTTCGCAGGTTTCCCCAATATAAGAATTTTGTTAAAAAAGAAAAATAAACAAAACCAACTGTTGCATATTTAAATGTCTATTTGACACTACCCTTTATCCACCATTTCTTTTGATATGTATTCTTAAATAGTTATGAAAAGAAATACGTTTATACATCTATTATTACGACAGCAATCTAATCCTTTTCGATGGCACCTATATTCTTTTGGGTGTCTGGTATGGCTGGATCGAGTCCGAAATTCATTTTTATAATGTCACAAAATAGCGAGAGAAAAATCAAACCATTTATAACGTGATTCAAGGCATCGGCTATGGCGCGTTCCGTCTTCCCTTTGTGTATTCCGACCACAGAGACCACCATCAACAAACAACCGGCTGCTATCTAGGAGGAAATACAAAATGAGTAAATACACAATGCGGTTTATACTGTAAACAACTATTGGTGACAATTATTAATTTATTTATTGTTTTTTTCTATTGCTTAAAAATAATTTTAGAAATTATCGAGTATGTTAGTGTGTATGTAAATACATATGTACTTTTGTGTGGTAATTGAAAATTAAATTTAATAAATTTTGAATTTTTAGGGTTCCTTTTGATGCTGATCCAATAGACGCAATGGCTGCGATGAGTATTCAATGCCAAAACCGGATATCACTACATTTATTACGGATATAACAAAGATAACAACCATTATTATGTCGTTCAATATAACTGCGGCGGTTTGATCCGTTTTCCGATTTATATTCAGACTTCCGATGATGACAAACAATATACCAACCAGCAGCTGCATACATATATATTCGATCCATTCCCAGATAATAGCGAACGAGTGGAAGAGAGATAGAGAGACGGTAAAAGAGAGTTAATGTGGTTGATCAATTCAAATTCAAAGGTAACGGAAATATACATACATATCCATATGTACATTGTATGTATGCAGCACTAAACAACAATTTTAATTGAGTCCACTGAGATAGTCGCCTTGGGAGGGTGGTAAGCGCGAATCGAATGCCGAAATGAACAGATTTATCATGGTCACAATAAACGCAAAGCCAGTGCGTATGTGATTGATGAAGTTCGCCGACTGATGGAACTCCGGCATATGCATGCGACAATCGCGCATTAGACTCAGGGACAAACTTAGAACACCGGACAGGATCTGAGACAATAGACATACATAATATACATATGAGGTACGTATGTATGTACATACTTACAACATACCACAACACATACACGAACAGAGCCGTGCAAATCTTACCTGCAGAATGATCGAGAGGCTAATCAGGACGAGCATCAGTTTGTAGAATTGATGTTGTTCTCCCACTTGTAAAATGTATTTCAGCTGGGAAGCGTTGGCCGTCAGCAACGCAATGTCCAGCATGCCCTGGGCAATTGTTTTCTTTGTGGCATATCTATTGGCGTCCATTGACTTCATCTGAAATAAATGAGGGGAATTATTATATATTTTTAGGAACGGTTTTATTCAAATTTTTGAAATGAGTAAACAAACGAGGCTAAGTAAAATATCTTTGCCACAAAACTATGTGTTGACTATTTTAACGGTATATTGCCTGTCGTCTTTTCAGCCTCTCATACCTTCTAGAAAGTTAGAATAAAACCAAAAAACCGTTTCCTTTTTTTCACCAGCAACTCTGTTGCTTTTATCAATACCTTGACTATTTATCATTAGATAACAAATATTAAGAACCTCCACATCTATTGGGACAAGATAGTGCGACATATTTTACACCAAAAATACATTCAGACATGACAACTTCACGGCTGTTAGATGAGATAGAAATGTTTGCAAAGATGTAAAAAAACAACCTTTAAAAGTTTGGTTCGCTTCACTATTTATTAATCATACATAGAAATTTAAAATTGCTCGTGACCGGATTCAATCCATTCGATTTGGATACCCCTGATAAATAATCCAATTGTCTACATCAATTTGAATATGATCGTTCTAATTGCCTATGCACTTTTTTATTTTTGAATATTTTATCGATAGAAAGATGAAAGCGCCTAAACGGCGTGTCATTCTTGGTATTATAGTATGATACCATTTCTGGTAAAAGAATGAAAAATAAATAGATCGCGGTACGAAATAAAGTATTTTTGTGTGACAAATCGTGATAAAATAAATCATAACAGTAAAGAAGCTGTAAGTTCGGCCGGGCCGAACTTTGAATACCCTCCACCATTTGGAACAAATTTGGTAATTTTCAAAAAAATAAAGTCCGTTAAAAATTCTGTTAAAATCTTAAAAATACCAAAATGTAGGCGTCGTATTAGGGTCTGAACGACGACGTGGACCTGCATAGGCATCTTTTCAAATGCGAAACTTGAAAAAAAAATCGGTGAATAATGTAGCTAAAATGATCAATAAAGGGGCTATACGTTATATGGTGGCTATACGAACGCGTGGACCTGCACCGACAATTTTCTGCCTTAGGCTGTAGTATCCATTACGAACATCAAATACTAAATTTGAAACAATTCCGGTGAATAATGTCGCTAAAATCATCAAAATACCAAATTACAGGAGGTACCGTTATATGGGGGCTATACGAAGACGTGGATCTGCACAGACAATCTCTTGTCATATGCTGTAGTATCCATTACGAACTTTAAATACCAAAATTGAAACAACAATCATCAACACACCGAATATCGGGAGGTACCGTTATATGGGGACTATACCAAAACGTGGACCTACATGGCCCATTTTCAATACCAAAAGTCCTGCAGACATAATATATATTTGAGTAAAATTCTATCAATCTACTTCATTTGACAACATCGCATTGTCAAAATGATTTTGATAAACATAAATTTAAATTCAAAACAAAAAAACAACGTAAATTTTGAATTTGAAAATAAGATAACATGTTTTGATTCTGGAGGGAATGTTTTTTTATTGTTCCCAAATCCAAAGAACACCGTAAATGATGATCCCAATCTTCATTTACAGACATCGCAAAATTTGCATCCCATCTCTACATCAGATTTTGTGTGTGCAGACGCACTATGATGTGAAAAGTTTGAAAAAAATAAGATGATTGATTATTTTGCATTTTGTGAGATTTATAATTATACAAAATTTTCACGCTGGATGTACCAGAAATTTGAAGTCAAGGACGCTCTTATTCCACATCTTATATGACATATGATTGTTCCAAATGTTTTTCCGGGAGCAAGGAATTATTATAACAATTTATGATTTAATTTTATTTTAAAGTAAAAGCTTGATGCAAAAAGTCTATTTGGCACTATAAGACTCCTGCACAGAGTTGCATTTTTCTTCTTAATTTTTTACCTTCTTTTTTACCTTCTTAATTCTACCATGGTGACACCTAGCAAAACCTGATTAATAAAAAAACAGCTGGCAACTTATTAGACGTATAATTGTCAGAACATTTCTAAATTTTACTCTACTAAAGGCTAATTTATACATGATTGGAGGACATATTTTCAAAAGTGTTTTGATTTGTTGATTTAACTCATGATAAAATTAAGAAGGTAAAGTCATTTCAAAAAGGTTTATCCATCTCTAAATTTTCTGTAATTTACATTGTCAGATTTCTCTGCATAGAAACCAGGTTCCCATCTCCGATTTGTGTTTATGTAATAGATTTATATATACAAAGGATTTTTTTTTTGAAATACTGTAAAAATATGATTGCAAAAACGTTTCCCTTTTTAATTCTACCATGACTTAACTGAAGAAAACTTTGGGTAAGAAAATATTTTAATATAAAAGTATTTGAATTCAAACGAGTTCCCTTTCAAACTAAAAATACCAGTAAGACCGCTTGGATACAGCTATTAAACTCTTCAAAACAAAAAAAACACATAAAGTGGATGAGGCCGTTGTATGGGGGCCATACCAAAACGGGAACCCCTATAGACAGTTTTATACTTCAAGTATAGTCATCTACCAAATCTTTTTAAATACCAAATTGGAACAATTTCGTGGGTAAATGTGACTAGGATTATCAAAATACCGAGTATGGGTGGGTATCTTTATATGGAACTAAATATTCAATGTTCTGCCGCCTGAGTTAGAACCTATTTTGAACTAAAAATACCATTTTTTAGACAAATCTGTGGAAAAATGTTGCAAAAATCATCAAAATACTGAATATCCAGAGGTAACATTATTTGGCGGCCTATACATACTATGTTCTGCCACCGGAGCTACAATCCAAATCCGTTGAAAAAGGTGGCAAAAATCTTCAAAATACCTAACATCGGGAGTTACCTTTATACGGGAGCTATACAAAAACGTGAACCGATCTATCTCATTTTCAATGCCAACCATCCTAGACACAATACAAATTGTTCTGCCAACTTTTGAAGCTTTACGTCATCAGTGTGAAGACTATCAAATGGAATTATTTCGTTTCTTTCTGCATGTCACAAACAAATGTTTAAAGAAAATCGGATCGGTGGGATTCATAATCAAAATTTTTAATCTATATATATATAAATGTAAGTTGTGTTAGTTACTACGCTTATAACTTAAGAACCGCTGGACAGATTTTAACGATTCAAACAAATTCGGAATTGTCTCTTTTCCGAAAAGGATAATATCCAAAAAAAATCATTTTGACTTTTCAAATGTACAATAGTAATGTTTTATTTTGCATGATTTTGTTTCCATTTTGACTTACTTTTTTCTAATGTACATTTGTAGTGTTTTTTTATATTATATTTTTGAATTCGAATATTTATACCAATTTATTTAATTGACATGATTTCTTGAGAACTGAAATTGATGGCGGGTTACATGGAAGTGTAGTAGCGAATTATGTGGTGGCGAAACGGAATAGATGATATCGAAATAATTTAACGCGGTCACACCAAAGTTAAAAGATAATTACTTTTTCTAAATCGCTGAAAAATCATGAAAAAGAGATCTCAATGCAAAAATCAAAAAAACATTTTCAATGGAATCGAATTTTAAAGTAATAGTACATTCTATTGACAAACTTTGTAAGGAAGGATCTTAAAATATTTGCTGTAAAAAATCAGCGAAAAAGTTGAAGACTTTTTCAATTTGTTATTCTTTTTTTTGTCAATTTTTTTTGTGAACAAAATAAAGAATAATTTTTCACTAAAAAAATTGAATAAGTGCGAAATAGGATGTTAACTGACATCTACCTTTCAACTCCAGGGCCTACATCGTGGGTTAGCTGGAAGATGCGAACACGTTTAAACAAACAAAAATGACCGAAAAAGCTTAATGGGGCTCATTTCAAAGCGTGACAATGATCCGTCCAATGAGAGCTCTAAATGCAAAATTCTTTGGGAGAATAATAAGTAATATACCAATATTGAAATAAAAGGTGCAAAATAGTAGAGCGAATGGGACTTTTAGTAAGAAAAGGTTTTATATCCTTCCAGAAATTCTTCCCAAACATTCAAAATACCTAAAATCACTTTTGCAGGTCTTTATATCGACCATAACTCACGGATAAGGGAACAACCCGATTTCATATTTATATAACCATCTATGATTTAAGTTATTTTTGGGGTCTTGGCCGGCCACTTTTTTCATTTTTTGGCCCTTATTTGACATTTTTGTTTCTAAGGGGGTAGATAACCTCTTCGCATAAAATTTGAAATTTTCAGAGTAGGGCCCATATTGGTATTGACCACATTCATCAATTGATTTGGCTAAAAAAATTTATTCATGCCACCCTGGGGTAGGGAACCATCATACAGATAATTGCCACATAGGAATTTATTTAAGTAAAGTCCCCACATTGGAGTATCCCCAAGTCCACTTTCACATCTAATGTGTGGTCAGAAAAGAAAATTTTGTATTCTATTGAATTTTTAACCCCCAAGAGAATATTGGTTGGGAACGTAGATTTGGGATGTGCATCCATATGAAATAAATTGTGGAAACATGAACAAATTACAAATATAAGAAAGTAGCACGGGACCGAATATTTGTTTAATCATCATTGAATTATCCTATGATGAAAATATGAAATTTAAGGGGTCTCCAACTTACAATTTAAATGGCAAATAAAATTAATTCCCATCTTATCATTCTGCCCTCAATTATGAGGTGGATAAAACTATGTTTACTTATTTAAATCACGCGAAATGCTATGACATGCTATATTGTTCTGCTATATTTTTGATTTGGCCTCTATTTGTCATCTTGGATTATAAGGGGTAGAAGAAAGTTTTCAATGTAGGTCGATGTTTCGGAGTAGTGCCCATATAAAGAAGGTACCTCCTAATTTAACCACATTTCAAAGAATTTGGCTAATAATGCGTATTAGGGGGGTGAAAATCTTACACTAAAATTTCAACATATCTACAAATTTTAGAATTTTTATCCATGTTATAATACCCTCTTAAGTCCACCTTTTGGCGGACAAACAGACTGACATGGTTAGGGGGACTTATGAGGAC